TAGAACATGTGTATGATCAAATCAAGAAAATACTAGTAAAACCACTTTGCTGCTCACAATTTTTTTTATTTTAAAGTGTTCTACCCAGTCAACAATCCAGTATATAATTAAGATATGCAAGTAAATCAGGTAAATAGTCAAGGAAATTGCAAGTAAAGATGAAACGCAATAACCAAATATCATTTCGTTGGGCCGCACAATCCAGTCCAAATAACAATAAGCCAATAAGGCCTATTACGGCATGCAACCCGATTCAAATAATAATAACTAGCTCTCCCAGAACTCACATCAACCAAAAACCTGTCGGTTTCTTATAATTAGCGTGTACACCATTCAAGAGACAAACATGAGAGTGTGACCCTAGGTGGATGGATCCATATCCACAAACAAGCACGTCCAATTCAACGTGCTACCAGTCTGGTGTGATTACTGGCTCAATATTATAATCCGCCCAACATGGTCACAAACTCAACATAATAGATCCATCCGGCGTGGTCACAAGTATAAATATACAATCCGCCCATTGTGCCTACATGAATAACAATATAATCTGCCTAGTGTGGTTACAAGCATAATAATACAATATGTTAGGCGTGGTCACATGCATAACAATACAATCCGTCATACGTGGTCACATGCATAATAATACAATCCGCCCAGTATGGTCAAAGGTATCCGGTCCAAATTATATCATATAGAAGTAAATATACAAGAATACATATATATGATCAATGAATATCAGATTTCATGCTCTTGGACCGGCATAAGTGTTATGCTAGAATGTATGCATGTGCAAAGCATGCGATCATATCTTAAACCGATAATTTCATCACGAGAATAGCACATATCAAGCTCAATCAGGAAATCAACTACTATGCAATCTCAAAATATAGGCAAATAGCTCATAATAGTCAATTCAAGGTATATCATAGCCTAAGAGCTACCCGAGCATGGATAAATACCACTGGTGCTCGCACATGAGCTCAAACCCCACACATATGCGCACTCATAGCACATAGCTATCACAAATAACTCAGGCAACTAGTGCCTCAACCAAGTTTATATAAGATACTTACTCAAGCAAGCCAAATCAAATATCGAGCAAGCTAAACAATACTCTATAAGCGCCATCCCGCACAAATCGATCTCTGAACGGCTTGAAACTAGCCAAAAGCAACTCAATAATATCAAATAATGCCAAAGAAAATAAACCCAAATGATAAAGGTCGAATCTTTGATAAATTATTTAAAGTCAACCAAAAAGTCAAATTCGGGCTCGTACCTTGGGACCCGACAAAACTCTCAAATTCAGATAATTCATTCGAATACAAGTCCGAAGTGGTCTGAATCAATCTGAAAAACATCCGGGCCCCTCGAAAACCCCGTCCAAATATATCAACAAGTCCCAAAACATAACGCGGATCCACTCGAGGGCCTCAAATCACACCCAACAACATCAAAATCATGAATAACACTTCAATTCAAACTTAATGAATTTTTGAACTTTCAACTTTTAAAATTTGTGCTAAATCATATCAAATCAACTTGGAATGACCTCAAATTCTGTGCATAAGTCCCAAATGAAATAATAAACATATTCCAACTCCTGAAACTACAATAAACATCTGATAACGCCAAAGTCAACTCACGGTCTAACCCTTGAACTTTCCAAACCTTCACATTGTCAAATTTCGCCAAATAGTGTCGAAACCTTTTAGAAACATCTAAATATAAATCCAAGCATATGCCCAAGTCTAAGAAATCACCATCCGGATCTAACGGAACCAACAAAACTTCGATCCGAAGGCAAATATACGAAAGTCAAACTTGGTCAACTATTCAAACTTAAAGCTTCCATAATGAAGATCATTCTTACAAATAAATTTTGAATCACCCAAAAATCAAAACCGACGATACACCCAAGTCGTAATACTCCATACGAAGCTATCACGACCTCAAACCTCCAAACCAAATATAAATGCTCACTATACAGTCATTATAGAGAACTTTTCAGTACAAGTGTTAGTGTGTCACTTGTGTTTGTCTCTTTATGAGGTTGTTCTCTTAATATTTTGTACTCTCTTTTATATAGTGGATTGCTCATCTCTATCTGTGGATGTAGGTTAATTGACCGAACCACGTTAAATATTTGTGTCTCTTTTGGTATATTTCTCTTTTGTTGTTTGATTTATTATCGTTCAAAGTTTGCTCTGCATGATACCTGATTATTTCAATCCTAACAAATGATACCGTGTTGAAGTTTGTGATACCTCATACTTACATAATTCTTTTAAATATGTTTGACTGATGAAATAAATAGGATGCGAGTTCAAATATATTAAGTTACAAAAGTGTGCTCCTTTCGAATAATTTAATTAATTATTTAATTGAGATAATAACATATTCTGTTTCAAAAAGAATAACATATTTTATAATTGAAAATAACTTAGCTTTAAACCCCGATTTAGCTAAACAAATGTCATAATGGGTTTAAAGTTTAAATCCATAAGTTTCTTCATACAACAAACGAATGTCTGAAAATAACACGGACTAGCCAGTTTTCGGATTGGTAATTGAAAAACAGCAAGTGTTTGTAAAGTCATTCAAAAATAGTCACTATTTCACTGCAACACGGAAAGTTCCAGCATAATATACTGAAGATTGGTGCGCCTGTGTATGAATTTCCAGCATGTTATGCTCGAACTCCAACACACGAAAAGTTCCAGCATAATATACTGGAGATTGGAGTACCTATATATGAACTTCCAGTATATTATATTGGAGTTCCAGTATAGCATATTATGCTGGAGTTCCAGTATATTTCCGAATTTTGAACAGTATTTTCGTTCAGATTTATCTTTACATGTAAAGTGGCTAAAATTCGATTATTTTTGAAACTGTGGCTATTTTTCAATTACCACTTGTAAATCTGACTGTTTTTGAATTTCTCCCAACAAATGTTGCAGCATGTTATAAATTATAAGTTTCAAAAGTCATTATTTCTTTTTTATATTTTATTATGAATCACTGCATCACATAAATCAAAATAAGAGAATATAAAATCAAGGTGTAGAGCTACTATAATCTTGGAATACCAAAAAATACTCCAAAAATGGAGGGAGGATGTGCAGAAAGGTGCATGTGTTGCAACTCCTTTTTTTCTTTTCTAAGTAATAGACTTTAGGAGATGTTTAGCCATGAATTTTATTCACTTTTATCCAGAATAATTTTTTACTTTATTTCAAAATCTGTTTATAAGATTTCAAAATTCAAAGCTTATTTATTTTTGGTAAAACATTTAAAACACAGTTGGAACACATGCAACATTTTATTGTCCACTTTGGTTATAAAGAGAAGGTGTACAAATTACAATGCCAGACTACTCAAGTCATTTAAAACTCAAGCCTGAACAGACCAATTATTGATCAAGAGGGAGAAAAAAAAAATGTGGGACCCACCAATGACCTAACAATAAATTAAATGAGGAAAATGAGGGGACCAATTTTAACTTGAAATTTAAATTGAAAAATAATAGTATAGAAAAATTAACCTAACTAATCGTCAATATAACCGCTTAAATTAAAAATAACCGAAAAATATATAATATAAGTATGATTTAGATATAATATACATATAACCATATATGATCAATATATAATTTATATATATCAACTAAAAAATACTTAAACAATAAATTTATCCGATGTAAAAAAGTTTCAAAATATTTCCCTCCCTGGAGACTTTTGGTCCACAGTACGGATTAAAATGGACCCACTCTGACAACCTTTAAAGCTTAAATTCTCCCTATTTTCCTTCTTGATTTGACATATGTTAGTAAGTTGTTATCTGTTCCAAATAGTATAATACTACTAAATACCTTTTTATAATTAAAATTATTTATTTTTGCATGTTTCTTTTGCAATTGGGTGATTCCGTGATTGACATATAATCTATGTTAACGGGTTTAAAAAACAAAAATTAAATGCAAATGGTACTTATGATATTAATATTTTTAACCTTATATTTAATATCTTCATTTCTTACTTAAGATGACAGATCTATTTTATCAGTTTTTGAACATCTAAATTTTAAAATATTAAATTAATCTAATATAATTTAGCTTCAAAAATTAATAATTTTGACTTTCGATAAATTAAAAGTATCACATAAATTGAGCCGAAGGAAATAATAAAACTAAAAGCATAAAATGAAACAGGGGGCACGAAACCCTAAACAGAGGAGAACTTGAACCGTAACCAATTTATTATTGTAGAATTTCCCTCAATCACGTGATTTATAAGTTACGAGCTCGAATCGTAGAAGTAATTGTTAATGCTTCTATTAAGGCTATTTATGCTTTATACATCGAGTTGTCTTTTCCTCGTCTCACCTAGGGTTGCTCAGCGGACAGATATTTTCGCTTGACGGTTCGATTTATTGATTATTTGCTTGTAAATACACTACTCCACTAGCCATTCGATATAATATTGGGCGGATTGGTATCGGATTAACGATTATTGGAAGGTTTATCGGCTAAATCAAATAGACAATAAAAATTACATAAATAAATAAAATATTAAACAATAGATAACCGATTCAATCACAGTCACACTTCAATACGCCAATGAAGCTCTCGTTATTGATGATAGTTTCTTCTTCTTTAATAATATGCAAGCTAAAATACAAATTGGGGATCCTTAACTGGTAATAGAAGTTCAGTTAACATAATTTTGCTTCAGTTATCAAGTTAAATGATTCATTTGAGCAGAGAGATATCAAACAATCTAAACTTGCATTCTTACCCACAAAAACATGACGTTAAAGCTGAGAATTTGCTTCATAATGAATAAACCATTAATCTTAGTGGCTAAATCCAATAAATTTTTACTTTGAGAATACGACTACCAAACAAGAGTGAGCGCGTGAAGTAAAGGGTGGGTGTACTAGATGAGCAGTAGCAATGAGCTGTGAATTTTGTGTAAGATAAGTACTAGTCCCCACCACCCATGTGCCCCTCTCCTGTCTCCACCAGTTCCTGCTTCTCAATCATTTGACCCCTCCTCTCTCTCCCCATATTTTCCTCCATTGTTGAACTCGAACTCTTATCCACCACTCCCTTCAACTTATTTCTCAAGTAATCTTTTTCTACTCCTTTGTTGAGGTGCAATTTTCGCTCTATTTACCCTCTTAGGCACACATTACTCATAATTTGGTTATCAAGTAATTTATCATATTTGTTACTTCTTCATTGTTGATCCTGTATTTTTACTTCTATGTCGACGTCAGCAGAAGGAAACGGAGCTATAATTGATCCTCATCAAAGGCAGCAACAGCAAAATCCTTCTGGGGGCGGAGGTACAAACGGCGCTTTAACAGTGAAAAAGCCGCCGGTAAAAGACCGTCATAGCAAAGTTGACGGTAGAGGAAGGCGTATAAGGATGCCAATTGTGTGTGCAGCTAGGGTTTTTCAGCTCACTCGTGAACTAGGTCACAAGTCCGATGGTCAAACTATTGAATGGTTGCTTCGTCAAGCTGAGCCGTCAATTATAGCTGCAACTGGTACTGGTACAATACCAGCTAGTTTCTCTACTGTATCGGTTTCAGTTCGAAGCTCATCGTCATCGATATTAACTTCATCCATTTCGGCTCCGCTTGATCATAAGCAGCCGCCATCATCACAGCCGTTGATTTCTCCTGCTCCGTTTATACTTGGGAAACGCCTCCGGCCTGATGATGAGAGCATTGAAAACGGGAATAAGGACGATGTGGGACCTGCAGCTACGGTTGTGGGTCCCACATCCGGGTTCTGGGCTGTTCCAGCTCGGCCAGATTTTGGCCAAGTTTGGAGCTTTGCTGCGGCGCCACCAGAAATGATGGCGCCAACATCAGCAGCGTTAAGTTTGCAGAGTTCAAGATTCTTTCAGCAGCAAATGGGAGAGGCTTCAGCTGCTAGAGTGGGGAATTATTTACCCATGACTCAAGGACACCTCAATTTGCTAGCTTCTTTATCAGGTCCGCCGCAGCCTTCTTCTGGTAGAAGAGACGACGACGGACGCTGAAGATATGGATATTATTATTATTGTTGTTGTTAATATATCGTATAAATATGTGTTAATGTTCTAGTTTGTTCATGTTGTGTTAGATGAGAAATTGTTGTTGAATTTTGGGGGTTAGGTTCTAGTGAGTGATGAATTATTGCTAGGATTAGGTTGTTTGCTTCGTCGAATTTGTTAGCATTTAAATTCTCCAAATTTTGGGTGTTGTTGTAGCTGTGGGAAGATAACAAGGGACACAAGTATTAGGGGATTTGCTTGTGATGAAGTTGGTGGGGATTTCCACTTTTGTTGTTGCAGACCTCATAATAAGCTGCTTGATCAAGTGGTTAGTAGAGATAATAGGGACAAGTGTGGACTATGAAAACCTGTAGTTCCACATGAATGTTTTGTAAGGAAACCGTGGAGGTTTCTATTTAATTCAGTTCTGTAATTTGTTGAAACTATCAATTGTGAGCTAAACTTTCCTACTCAAAAGAGTGCTATGGACTTTCATTACTGAACTTACTTTGTGTTATCTTGAATGGGATGTTTGCTACTCAATAATTGATTTGATACCATACTGGACAACCCGGTGCACTAAGCGTCTGCTATGTGTGGGGTCCGAGGAAAAGCCAGACCACAAGGGTTTGTTGTACGCAGCCTTATCCTGCATTTCTACAAGAGGTTGTTTCCACGGCTTGAATCCGTGACCTCTTGGTCACATGACAACAACTTTACCAGTTACGTCAATGATCTCATCCAGTATGATACCATATTGGATAAAATGAAATATTCATTTCTTGCTCTGCCCAATTCCTCTGCCCACACCCCCACCCCCCCCCTCCCTGAATCATTTTAAAAGCATTACTCGATTCACTTGCGACTGATCAACTTATTCATGGGACAGTGAGAAGTGAAATCAATACACTGATGAACATAACTAGAACAGGATCTTGATTGATCATGTGAAATGCTGTTGAATCGAATATATAGAAATGGAGGAAAGAAAATATTTCTACACTCGAGCTTTCTTAAATTGATAATGGACCAGATAATTTTGCTGCAGCTTGATGTCTATTCCATAAATAAATGTGCGATGAGTGCCAGATGATTTTACGTTAATGATCTTAATGCTATAAATTCCTCCCTAGTACTCAGAAGATAGTGTAGTTATTAAAAATGTTACAGTGTCCTATACATTTAGGGACGACATGATGCCCTATTCTATCATGTGCTGCTTCAACTTGAAGGAGGAAAGGATTATACTGCAGCATCTGCTATTTTCTACAGCAACTGGGAGGATTCCGTTGTGCAGCATCTGAGACTAACGACACCTTCCAGCTTCCAGCTTCAATTTTGCATCAGATTAGGTAACATGTGGTTAAATTCTTTGTGCTTATGAATTCCTTTTCGAATCTTTTAAGTTTAGAAGCATATAGATAAGTTATCTGACCTCCGAAAGCGAGAGAACAAATTGATTTGTAACATCTGGTTAGTCAAATTTCAAGTTGACGAGAGCTAGGCATGCCTGCTAGCTATCCTGGTAGAAACACGAGAAGGTTTATGTATGTCGTGGAGATGTCAGCGCCTCCTTATGTTCTGGTTAGTCTTATTTCGAGTTGACACAGAGCTACCTCCTAACTATCCTGGCAGGAAATTGAGGGGGTTTACGTATATTGTGGAGATTTGCAGCTCTCCCTTATGTTTTTTTTGTAGATTGTTTCTTTAATATAGGGTGGTTCAATGTAGTATATCATGCTTTGTTACTTGAAGGCTCTTTTTAACAACTACTTGTCCCTAAGGTTAGTATGATTCTTCTTTACATATTGAGATGCAATTTCTAGAATGAGTTTGATTTTACTGTTTCTTTTCAAACTCTGCTAACTCTTTAAGTTGCTAAAGTTTTCATTACATTTAAACTATTTTTTTCCTGTCTGATATACTATTTTTACACGCCGGCTAGCAAATATGCCTCCATCATCAATTTTAACTCCATGAGCTGGCTGATTTTCTTTCTGCATTAGTTTCATCTGGAGTAGCAAATGGTGCAAGACTGCATATCTGGTAGAAGGTCATAATATAAGGAATTGCAGAATCTAGAATCTTTAAGCTGTGAATGATATTCTATTTACTTCCTACTTTCTATGTTAAGCTGTAAAATGCACTACTTTTGGAGGATCCGACATGCACCTGGCCGCATTTTGGGAGAGTCCAAGCAACATAGCCTACTTTACAACACAATTCATATACTCTGGGAGATCCATGGGATATTCAAAGCCAAAGACTACTAAACCTTGTCATAACACCAGACAGGTGCTTAGCAAAGGTAATGTTATTGTTCTCCACATGCCTATGAATCACGTTAGTCATCTTCTCTCATGTTAATCTTGTTGTATCTGTTTCTGTTATATTCATAAGAAAAGTATATGTTGCAATCATGGGAGCAATGACGGAGCCGGAGTTTTAACTAAGCAGGTCAAAATGTAAAGAAGTAACCCATGAAGAAGCCGGGGAGGGGTGTCAACATGTCGTATGTATACATACTTTTTTTTTTTAACCCGATGAAGGGGTGTCTTGAGCCACTGCATGGGAGCAGTCACGCCATTTCCGCATTATAAGACAGGGTTTGGCATTGGGCTGTACCTACTCTATTACCTGCTTGTTTCATGATCTCATCAGATTTTGGAACAAGTTTCAGATGTTACTCTTGCTAATATAGTGTTTCGTAATGATTATCACATATGGAATTTCAATTTTAGTTGTCAAATCAACTATTAGTTGGTAATCAACTGCAGGAAGATAAGAATGTATCTACAATGGCAAAATGGTTAAAAGACATTTATCCACCCATATTATTCATTAAAAAATGAGTTGGGTAATTGAACTTTTTAAAAACGGATGGATACGAACCATATTATCCACTTAGAGAATGGATAACCAATGGATAACTAATAAGTCATATTCAAGACGTCATGGATAATATAGATATCCAAATGGATAATATGGATGTCCATATTATCCGCTGATTAATCCGTTTTTTATTCGTATTAAATATAAGTCAGGTCGAATAATTTATTCGTTTTTGTATTACTCGTTTTCAACCCTCTCATATTCGATCTGACCCGCTCGTTTGCCACCCTTAGTATCATATTAGCCTTGATCACATAATTATGTGTGTTTGGTCTCATATATAGTTGCTTGCTTCAAAGAGAGTTTTTCATTTCATGAGACAACCTCGTTTGTTCCAAATATTTTTTGATGTTATAGCGAAGTGTTGTTATAGAGAATATATATTATAACATAACATGTTACCTTTTCAAAAAAATAAAAAAATAAAATTGGTTCCGGAAAAGTTTGGCTTTTCTTGTGAATTGTTGTTATATAGGGATGTTGTTATAGAGATATCTGACTATATATAAATTAAAATAACACTAAAAGTAAATGCAAAATATATTTGAAAAAATCTCACACAAAATCATGGGGTAAAAATTTCATGCAAAATGCTCCAAAGAAAGAAAGAAATATTATTTGAAAAANCAATTTTAATCAATTTCAATAAGTAAAATCAATTAAGCCGAAATGAAACTAAAACTGAGTGCGGTATGACATAAAAACCAAATATATTTAAGTATAATCCGGATCTGGAGTCACAAGTTCACGAGTTTCTAGAGTTGCTACATACAGAATTTGAAATAAGTACAACTGTCTCGAATGATAAGAAAAGTAAATAGGGGGAAGATGGAATGAGACTTCAAGGTCTGCGTACGACAACAGATCTACCTCGAGTCTCCAAAAGCAATTCCGAGCTGATACGCCTCACGGATAGTTGGGACCAGTACCAAAAATTTGTACAAGAAGTGTAGAGTGTAGTATGAGTATAACCGACCCAATGTACTTCGTAAGTGTCGAGCTTAACCTTGACGAGGTAGTGACGAGGCTATGACAGGACACCAACGTAAATAAACCTGTGCAGGTAACAATATACGTATAACATAACAACAAATAAGGCTAAACATGTACTATTGGGAAGGTATATGCGAAAGAGGGTGCAAAATACAGTAACTACAACAGGGAATGATAATAAGAACAGTCGATAAACTTTCAACAAAGAAAGCAGATATATATAATGAGCAAAAACTGTACGGCATCACCCTTCGTGCTTTCACTCTAACCTCACCATAAAACAATAATAATGGCACGGCATCACCCTTCGTGCTTTTACTCTCAACTTTACCATAAAATGATAAGTACGACACGCCATCACTCTTCGTGCATTAGCACTCAATATCATCATGAATCAATAAATACATCACGACATCACACTTCGTGCATTAACTCTCAAATACGACACGACATCACTCTTCGTGCATTAATTCTCAAATACGGCACGTCATCATCCTTCGTGCATTAACACTCTCCCTTACCATATAACAATGAACATATAACAATAAGGAGATAGAATAAACAAAAATAAGTCGTACGTCAACAATGGCTCCACAATACCAACCTCAAATTCAGAAATAAAATTCTCAATTATCACATTTAACCCATAAATGGGGAAAGAACGATCAATTTAGTAATTAACTAGTCTAAACATGGATATCATGATCAAAGAAAGCAATAAAGTACAAGAAACAAGTTCCACCCGCATGCTTTAGCCCAAAAACAACGCATAAGTACTTTTCACCTCACATATACAATGTACCCAACATCTAAACAAGTAGCAAATAGGCAAACAAGTCCTAATCCCTCAAGTCAAGGTTAACCGCGACACCTACCTCGCTCCAAAAAATCAACTCAAAGCTCAACCATAACTTTGTCTTTCAAGAAAGCCTCTGAACTAACCAAATCTAGCAAATTATCAACCAAACAATTCAAAATAAGCCTTAGGAACTACCCACAAATGAAAAAAGGTTCAATTTAGGTCATTCTTGAAAAAGTCAACAAAAGTCAACTCCCGGGTCTTGCTTGGTCCAAACCTGAAATTCGATTACCCATTCACCCCCGAGCCCGGTTATGTAATTTGTTTTGAAATCCGACCTCAATTTGAGGTCTAAATTCTAATTTTACAAAAATTCCTAATTCTACCCAAATCCCCAATTCTACCATGAAAATTCTAGATTTTAGGTTGAAATCTTATGAAATGTAATGGAAGATTGAAAGAAAATAGTTTAGAATCACTTACCAATGAATTGGGGAAGAAGGGCTCTTGGAAAAATCGTCTATCACTTACCAATGAATTGGGGAAGAAGGGCTCTTGGGAAAATCGTCTCTAGGGTTCTCTAGGTTTGAAAATTTGAAAGAATGAGATAATTCCCATCTAACTCAGCTTTTGACCAGTTGCAGATGTCGCAATTGCGACCTGGGATTCGCCATTGCGATCCCCCGCAAATGCAAAAAATACCTCGCAATTGCGAAGCCTTCGCACCTCTGCTTTCATCGCATTTGCGAGGAAATGTTCGCAAATGCAAACTCTGGTCCCCCGCAAATGCAACCTTTTGATCACAATTGCGATCCCTTG